ATTTCTAAACTTGGAGTCAGTGTAGTGTCCAGTTCTGTAACATCATCTTACATTTGACGGGAGTGAATCGCATGGCAAACATACATATATTGCAGCTCAAGGTGTTCAGGAGACTCTGCATTTTGTCAGCGTCCTCACGTAGAAGGGCTATATCGTCTGTAAGTCAATCCCTGAGTCTCTTAAGTGAGTTCGGGTTAAGTCCATTAGTACATCTATGATGAAATTGAATAGAAATGGGGATAGTGGGAATCCCTGACGGACACCACCAGTCGTGACCACTTCAGGTGACAACTCGCCATAAGCCTTCAACTCGTCGGACTACTTATAGTTTTGAAGGATCTTGCGACTTTTACCTCATGACCCATGTCAAGGAGATGCTTGGCAATGACACCATTGAAAGCACCTGTTCACTCGAGACGTAGGCTCCCTGGTGCATGTTCAAGAAATTGGAGACATGCCCTTTTTTCTATCCTTCCAATGTAACTCCTTCTCCAGATATATGTTAACATGAGAAGGGTTTCTGCTAACCTCTGTTTGATTGCACCAAAGAGCACGTTGTCCAATCAACGGGAACCAGTTTAGCTGCAGGACAGGCTGTGGCTGTTGAAGTACTCAATCTTCTATGGACAATAGCTGCAATATTTTACTCCTTAAAATCAAGCTGTGATTTCTTTGACATTTGAGTCTTCATATCTCTCCATTAAGAAGCCGTTATCAGTCTTTCTTTATCCTGGCAACTGGATGTTTATTTTTGTCTTTTCCCCGTTTGATTACGTAACGATAAATATTTCGTTCTGTATGATTATTATTCTTGTTTGGGCGAAAATGATTATTAGCATTATTAGCATTGTATGCATGTATTGATTTTTTGTTTAAAAAAATGAGCTCTCTATGGGTAAGTATGTTAAAATTGTCTCTCTGTGGACATAAACTTAATAATGTCTTCAGGCTATAAGCAGCAGCAGCTGATGAGAAGCCAACGAATGTTAAGCAATGATGGTAACCGTCTTCTTATTCTGCACAAACCACTGTTGCTGCTGTTGTTCCTGCTTTATTCACTCACATAAGTGAAACAGACTTCAGACCTGCTGATCCAGTTTATTTGGAAATCTCACTACCTTAAAAACAGTATATATCCACTAAGCCTGCTTTAGAATATACTAGGTATACAAATGATTTATGTCGTTAATGTACCCCAGGTAAATTTATGAAAAATTACATATATGGTTTAGAAATATATATATATATATATATATATATATATATATATGTCAAATGAGACTGAATCCCTAATTAATTTGATTTATATAACTGCTTAAAATGAAAGTACTTAGGTGAGGCGCGCCAATCTTTGGTCAATCATAATAATAATCTGATTTATTCCAAAACAGACAGAACTTACGATACAGCATTGAATTCTCAGCATTTGTCATAATGTTATGTCTAATTTACTAAAAATATATTTTAAAAAAATTAAGCATAGGAACGCTTCCACATTTACAGTAGGAATAATGTTAAAAACGTGCGAATTATAAGGTGAGAATAATAGTTGTAATAATAGAATTAATGGTAATATTAACAGTGGGTTTGTTTCAGGCAATATTGTCGACATATTATGGAAATTTTAGCATGTTATAGAGTATTAAATCTAATGTTCTCTTGATATAGAATGGTGAAGGGACTTACAAAAAATTAACAGTTTTACAGAGATTAAATGATGTTTACATTTATGAAAAAATAAACAAAAACAAAAAATGAGAGGACGATAAATATGAGAAGAAGAATAACAGTCAATCCTGATGGTATAAGGCTGGAAAAAACTGTTTATTCAATAGTGGAAAGAAGGTTGGTTGGTTAGTTAGTTAGTTCGTGCCTGACACCATTTTCATCACATAAAATGCTTGCTGCCAACTATGCTATCATTGAATTTGAATGCTTGAACGTGTCCGCGTAAGGTCTTTTGAAATGACTTCTTGTTCTACCTGAGAAAATACAACATAGTGAAAGCTTTGGGTGAATTGGATGCTTACAGTCTGACAAAATCCCTTTAGCAAATTTGTTGCACGAAATCAAGTGCATATCATCAGTGACGACGTCAACGATATAATCCAATGGGATACCACCTCTTGGGCTACTAACAGTCATCAGGGTTCTACGAAGTATGGCATAAACTTTTTCAACCAATCCAGGAAAGAATAAGACTGAATGATAAAGAAGCGGTGACAAGCTCCCCGAGTGCCTTAACTTCATAACGTGGAATATTAGACGAAGTATTTTTTTAGAAATCGCTAAGATGTGGGAAGACTAGGATAGGTGAGAAGAAAGAATTAGTCCAAGATACTTAACGTCAGACTTGATTTCTATATCATTAATATCATCAATTTTGAAACGGTCATAAGAATTAATATCTTCATTTAACTTTCTTTTACATTGGAAAATGAATTTAACAGTATTACATATGGAAGGACTTAGTTTAAGACGTTGTTTACCTTATATCATTCTAAGCTTTTGTCCCTCAACTTAGACATATTTTGATAAAGTCGTCAGGCGATAAGGCTTCATCCTGTTGGAATTATTGTAAATATCTGCCTTCACCTATGTTGAATCAATTACCGTAGTGCTCTACTTGCCTGGTATGAAGTCTAGCATCTGCTGAGTAATTGTCTGCATCCAAAATAACGAAAAATAAGTTGATCAGTCTAGATGAATGATGTAATTCACAGGTGAATAAATGTGTAACGACAGAAGACAACAGCCAGACAACAGATCGTTTATTGAGAAAATCAACAGATATTTATAGATTTTTATGTACATTATTATTAGCGTTATTGTTAGCACAGAAGCAACGTCTTCTGATTGGTTGTTTTCCTGCTGAAGGTTGTTCTGTCTTCTCTTTGAGGCCACTTTTAGGCAATCTGGTGATTATCTGTGAATCGTATCCGCCCACGCTAAGTTTGCCGTGATTGGTTGTTGAGTCCCTCACGCTTAGGCTTTGTTCTTGTTTTTTCTCATGACCCTGATTTAGGAAGTAAACATTGACGTCAATTGTTGTCTACAATTTCGTCTTACAGACCGCTCCCACCACATATGCAGCTCAGGCTAAAATGTTTCAGTAATATGTTAATACCTTTGTTGTCGTATAGAGTTTTAGTGGGTTAAAAATCTTTGGATAACAGTACTTGTATATATAAGCCATGTAGGATGAAGACATCCATTTTCGCTTTTATTAAGGTACTTAAAGGAACTACGCTTCGTTGGCTGTGCACTGGGAAGTGACTGATGTCATAGGTCAAGTCCTTTGTTTGGTACAGACTGAATTGTATCAATAGGGAATGAAATATAGCCGCCATAGTTGTTGGCTCCATATCATGAGGCACTCTGAACCCTTATTATTAGATGGTTAGAGGCAATCAGCAGAAAACCTTGGATCTAGGTTCCCTGCTGCTTGGCACTTTTCAACCAGGCATATCTGTAACTTCCTAATTAATCATGAGCCGGAATATCTCAGTGGTGTGTCCACTGACTGACTACAGCACTGGATGATGCAGTTTCAAATCTCCTCAAATGCTGCAGACACATCTGGCTGATCAGTGTCAACAAGCACGAGACTTACTCACGAAGGACAAGCTCTTCTGATTAAAGGACCCTGCAGGTTGCCCAAATTAGACAACACAACATAATTTACAAAATACTTTGCAATGACTGTGAGTTATGTCAATTGCATAGGTCACACTAGTAGTAGATCAGGGGTATTCAGATTGTCAGAAAATAAGAATTCAGCCAAGGCTAGAATGATTGACCCCGGGAAGAGACAGTCAAAATTCTAAAAAATTAATATAGATAGGTGGATAGCGAGAGGGATTGGTTACTGAATCCTGGTTCGTCGAGTCTACATCCAACACATGCAACAGAAATCACTTAACTCAAATACAAAAGATATGGAAAATATTATTACCAATCAAATCGAAAGATGAGAAATAATGGAATCATGTAAACTAGGTTAGAAAGCTGTGTAAGTGGTGTTGTGATATGATTATGGGCTGCATTAATAAATTGTGCTCGAAACGTGTTCATCAGTAAATATTACTGTATAACACACTCTGAGAATTTGTCAAAATAAATTTGACCCATAATGGAATTATGCTCTCCCACTGTTCCCAAGTTTTATCCTTGTATGAATATCCTTGACTCGGTGTGTACATCTATCCTGATCGCCTCAATATCTGTATCGTATTTCAGCATTACAATATTCTTATGGAAGACATATTCGTGATTACAAAACCATTTTTACAGTGCAATTTTATGTTTATGCATTAAAGATTAACTATTCTCATTTTATTATTATCCCCTTAGATTATGAGTGGAGCATACGGTCTCAACAACGACTCACGCACAGCGCAAATTTCTGACCCATACAGAGGAACTGAATGACTTCATATTGGTGTTGAATAGAATCTGAATCATTTTCTTTATGCTGGCTGCCTGGCTAAGTGAAGCAGAAGATTTCCAAACTCGTTTCAAGTTGATGAAGGTTTAGCTTGTCTTTCCTATTCTGACTGGCTGGCTTCCACATTTTTTTTGGTTCCGAATGCCTGTGGTTGAAACGGTGCACCTGGAGTCCTGTCTTCTCTCCTCTGCCTCTTCCGCCAGTTTGTTGGTTTTCGCTTCCCTGTGGGTCTTCAAGTTTGTGTGATATTGACCATAAGTCACCTGATAAATTCAGATCTTCTGGAATCTTCTTATCGGTCAGTGGAGCGGATTCCTGTCCTCTCAATTCACAACATTCTCATAGCTCTCTTGTATGGCTGTGGATAGTTTTCTATAGTTTTGATAGACTCATACAGGCTAATCGCATGTTTAACTGGTTGGCAGGGATAAAGATTCCTCTAAATTTGGTGTCTGTTGCATCCATTTACAGGAGCCTATGTAACTATAGCGTTGCTATGCATGCTAACCTTGCCCTTTAATAACGCTACCTTTTTTCTGCAATTTTATTTTAGTATTCGGTGTCGTTTATGAATTCACTGTGGCTGCAGTTACTGAAAATGGTTATGGTCATGAAGCAGTTGGTCAAATCGCTATGCCCGAAGCAGGTAAATAAGTTGTGAGTTGTTTTTCTTTTTTTCACTTTCCATTTAAGAATGAAATATTTATCCAATGAATTCTGTAAGCTGTATGAATATCCTTCAGCTTTAGTAAGTAGTTCTGACTAGTGGATGCACAATCTCAAAGTGAAACGACTACTCGTTGAAGATAGTCGTGATGGTAGTTCTATGTCAGGAGTTTACAAAGTTAGAATTTACCGGTCAACAAATCCCACCCTAGGTGGCTAAATGGCCAACAAAGGTAGTCTCATAACCTAAAGATCATAGGTTCAATCCTCGGTGAAGTAGCAATCGTTCACCGCTGAAGAGTCCTAAGATAGTGAGAAACAGCTGTCCAGTACTGTCCGGTTTTCGATAATATCTCTCTCAATAATGAAAAATTAAATACACCCGGAAGTTGTTATTATTAGCGAAATTGGTTTATTTCCCTAGTTGAAGGAATATTAAAGACAGAGAAATCGAATAACCGTGGAACTAAGATGTTCAAATGTGTGACATTACTAAATTCTATCTTTAATGTAAGTTCAGACAAGAGATAAAAGTAAACCTTTCATTAATGCTGAGGAGTCCCAAACTAGGAAAAAACAGCCGACTGTCCAGTACTCCAGCGCTGGTTTTCCAATGGTTCTCTAACCGATGTCAGCTCCTGAGGAAATCATGTAACTGTTATTTCTATTTTTAAGTTTATTTGACATCCAAGTGGAAAGTGTGTACAGTTAACTAATTTTGGATACTTATATTACTGAAGAAAGTGGTTCTTCTTATGATAATGTACTCGAAAAGCTGAAAAAAAAAACATCATGAACTCAGGAACGATCAATAACCTAAGAATATTTAGTTTTGCAATTAATAGAAAGATCCAATTCACCAACTACAAGTCGAGTTGATTAGAATAACATGTGAGATGAAAAAGACCAAATTAGTGAAAATAGAAATATCACCTTTGAAACAATTAGTCTCTTTAATAAGTTTGAATAGTGTAATTAGAAGACACAGATTATCTGGAAAATGTGTGATGTAATCGCGCGCTATATTTCAAAAAATCTGATGAAACATTTAGTTATTGAATCAGTTTTACGTGTGTGTGTGTGTGTGTGTGTGGTCGGCATCATGAATAAGCCCCATGGAGACATTAAGGAAAACAAGACACGTAGTTCAGAAAAGAATCTCTCTCGACGGCGAATTCATTCACTTAACTGTACAGTCACGATTGTACATAACTACTTGTATATATATGTGTGTACATTAGCTTTTTTGGACAAGACTAAAAATAATTTACGGTTATTGTTGTCAATACATTTTGAGAATGTGATGAATAATTAAAGTGCAACTGTGGGTTTGAGGTTTGAAGATTAGTAAGAGGCTAGTGGTGATGAGTTGTCAAAAGAAACATAGTTGTTAATGTTAATCAGTGCATAAGAGAAGTTGAACTACCAGTGAACATCATCCCCCCCCCCTTCAACGAGAACAGAAGTCCTGAAGGTAATCAAGATGCTAAAGACTGGAGAAGCAGCAGGACCAGATGGAATTCCAGCAGAAGCATTGAAAATTGCCCCAGAGACAACAGTGCACTTGATAGCACCACTACTGGAGAAGGTTTAGAAAGAAGGCAAGGTACCCGAGGATTGAAAGAAAGGATACTTATTCAAACTGCCAAAGAAGGGAGACTTAGGTCAATTCGAGAACTAGTGCGGCATTATGCTCCTGTCCACCCTAAGCAAGATACTAAGCCGCATCATTCTGGAGAGAATAAAACAAGCCATGGATGAAAAACTTTGACCGAAACAGGCCAGGTTCATTAGAAACAAGTCATCTACTGATCGAATTGCTACACTACGGATCATTATTGAACAAAGCTTGAAATGGCAGTTGCCTCTCTATCTCAACTTCATCGACTTTGACAAGGCCCTCGACAGCGCCGATCGGGAGGTGATTTGGCAACTACTTCGCTACTTCGGGGTCCCACCGACAATTATACATCTCATCCAGCAGTTGCTGCATGCCAAGAGTCCTACAACAGGAAACTCACAGAATATTTGGAAGTGAAGACGGGAGTAAGACAGGCTGGCTGCTTAGTATCTCCAATGATTGTCCTGATTGTAGTTGACTAGATAATGTGACAGACAGCGGCAACGAGGGGACCGACGTAAAATGACCCACACAAAAGCTTGGAGGATCTGGACTTTGCCGATGATAAATGTCTGATTCCCCTCAAACTGGAAGATATGCAAGAGAAAAGTGACAGTTTGGCAGAAGAAGCATTAAAGATAAAAATTCAGGTGAACATAGAGAAAACAGAGGTGATGACAATTCCTGGCTAACACCAGCAGCAACAACAACAACAGACAGCAGTCAGCATAAGTGGAAGGAACCTGAAACAAACAACCTCCTTCACCTACCTGGAAAGCATCGTTTCAACTACAGGCGGTGTTACTGACGAGGATATCAAAGCCAGAATCGTAAAAGCAAGACAAGCACTCATTGCTCTCAAGTCTGTGTAGAAGTGAACAGCACTCAGCATCAAAAATAAGGTCCGGATTTTCAACTCCAATGTGAAGCCAGTGCTATTACACGGATCAGAGACTTCGTGCGTCATAAAGAGCACCTCAAACAAACTACAAAACTTCTTCGCTCAATACTCATGATCAGATGGCCAGAAAAGATCACCAGCAGGGTCTTTGGGAGCAATCCAACCAGGAATTGATCATGCAACAAAGAGGCAGGAAGAAATGGAGATGGATTGGCCATACTCTGAAGAAACGATCAAGTGACATCACACGCCAGGCCATTGCTCGAGTGAAACTTGAAAGGGAAGCGGAGAGTTGGCCGTCAGTGCAAGGGTGACTTGGAGAAGGTCATGTGAAGATAAGATGAAATTTTGTGAGCAGACTTGGAGCAGGGTGAGAACGCTGGCAGAGAACCGAACGCAGTGGAGACGCGCGGCTGAAGCCCTATGTTCCTCTAGGAATTAATGGAAATAATAATAATAACAAGAGAAGTTGAATAAGAATATTGTTCTTACGTAGTAAGATGAATAGTTTGGTGAGTGACTTTTGGATAAAATGTACATAGAAACGAAGGAAAACACTGGATTATGTAACAGTTGTGAAGAAATACAAGAGTTACAAAGAGTTAGAAAAGCAGGCATACAAACATCAAGTGAGTAGAAATCAACACGGTTGTTACCATGATAATAAAAGTGGTTGAATGGCTTTCTTTTGTATGCCTAACTTCAGGAATACAAAGGAGATGAAAGCGTATTCACTTTGGTAGGTTACTGTTGACTCTCTGGATCACTCTGAAGAAGGAGGCGTTTGTTGAGATGGAATAGTTAGTGTTGAGAAGGTGTTCGACGATCGAATTCCATCTAGAAAAACTAGTACATTGTTGCAGCCATGCTGTGAGATAGTGTTCTCTAATGCTTCTGGAAAAGATACGCGTAAAACGACCAATTCACCAGGCTCCACAGCAACAGGTCAATTGATATATGCACCTCGATATAAGAATTTAACTTGTCCTTAAGACTTCTGCTTACCAATGGGCGACTGCAGAACACTACTCTAACCGTTGCTATGAAGAATGTTCTTCTCAAAGGTGCTGAAATTTTTTCTCTCTTAGGGATATCCCAAGGCTTAGCCTCCTTTGAAATTCAGGTTCATGTAAGGTTTCTTTTTTGGAACAAGTGGTGCTTCGTTCCTGTGAAATTTTGGTCTGATATTCTTGCTGATGAATCTTGGTGGGTATCCATTTTGGATATTAATTTGTCTGAGAAGATCCAGTTCAGCTCCCAGGCTGTCAGAATTTCAGGTGTGTTGGAATAAATTAGATTTCCTTTTCGTTCCGTCTCAAGTAGGTTTTCTCTATGGACTGAGCTTCTTAAGATCCCAATGGGTCATCCTGTTAATTCTACATCAAGAAAGGGAATTTTGGACTCATTTTCTATTTCCAGAGTGAATTTTATTGCTGGAAGATTATTCATGAATCTGACCACACACATAAAATAGTTCGAAATGTATTGCGCAATTACATCACACATTTTTCCCATAATCTGCATCTTCTAATAACACTATCCAGACATTATCCTTGCTTTCTTAAAATCATCGGCATTCACAATACCCAAAAAGCGAATAGAAATTCTTGAATTCAGAGTCTGCGATGGTCTAAAAATTCTTAGAAGCAGAAATTAATGAATCTCGGAAAAAAGCGTTTATGATGTTTACAAAAATGAAACTATAAACCAATTGGTCAATGTTCATTTCCATAGCCAATCAAGACATCTTTCTCCAACAAAGTAATCAAGGTCATTTTGTATACCGAAACAAAGAATCCAACTGTTTACCACGTAGAGAGCTGTTCAATTACTTGAAGTACAACAGAGAAACAAAATAATCTAAAAAAATCTTAACGGTTAACTAAACATCAACCAAATAAGGTTGACTAGTATAAACATATACACGTACAAATGGCATTTATGATGAACATATAAGTCACATTTGAGGATGAAACGGGCGTGCCATTAAAGTAACTGTCCGTAATGCACATCCAAGTTAGGAAAACAGTTCAAGTAGAATATATCACGATCAACCAGAGTGACAAAGAAGAAGCGGTATAGGAAGAAGAAATGGTTTTCGTTTCTTTCATAAATTAAGAGGTACCCAAAAAGGTTGTTAGAATTACAACATTTAATGATTTCAGTTTTGCTTTTGTTGAGAGATAGAGGCCAGAATAATTTGACCTGGAGATTAGATGACAAGAGAAGTTAAGCCAAAAAGAAAATAAGATTGATGAAATGTTTAAGTAATAGAACACAAAAAAAAGTAAGTAGTGCCAAGGAAAATCTTAGAAAGAAAGTGAGGCATAAAAGAGAAGCTTTGAAACTTAATAATTATCCTGATAAATTAGTCAGAAAGTATGTAGGGAAATGTAAAACTTAAACAAATAATGATAGTAATGATAATAATATTAATAATAATAATGACATGCATGTC